GCCAGCTAATCTATCAAGCATTTGGTCAATAAAGGGGAGGGGGAAGTGGTCCTTCCGGGTGGCATTGTTCAATTTTCTATGGTCAATGCAAATTCTCCACCCGGTGACAGTTCTTGTAGGGATTAAGTCATTATTCTCATTAACTACTACAATCATCCCCCCTTTCTTGGGTACACATTGGACGGGACTTACCCATTTACTGTCTGAGATAGGAAATACAATACCTGCATCAAGCCACTTAATCACTTCTTTTCTTACCACCTTTTTCATGATTGGATTGAGTCGTCGTTGTTGCTCTACACTGGGCTTGTGTCCGTCCTCCATGAGGATTTTGTGCATGCAAAAGGCTGGACTAATGCCCTTTATGTCAGACATCGTCCATCCAATTGCTCGCTTGTGTTCACGTAGCACTCTCAACAGCTTTTCTTCCTGCAATTTAGACAAGTCAGAGGAAACAATAACAGGTAAAGTGTCAGAGTCTCCCAAATAAGCATATTGCAGGTGAGATGGGAGAGGTTTAAGCTCCAAGTTCGGGGCTTCCTCAATTGACGGCTTTGGAGGAGGTCCCTCTGGCCTGTTCAAGGGTTCAAAGGGGTGTATCCCCTGCATGTATGCACAAGATGTATCAAAGATGTGCTTCATCTCCTCGACCTCTTCATCATTCCCCAGGCTATCAAACAACATAAGTGCTTTCTCTAGAGAATCGTCTAGATATACACTTGGATCACGAATTTGCTCATCAGCCTCAACAACAGATATCATGGAAAGCTCCTCATAGTGACGGGGAAGTTGGATTGCTTTGTAGACATTGAAAACTGCTTCCTCGTCATCTACCCTCAAGATCATCTTTCCCTCTCTCACTTTGATAACTGCGTCACCAGTAGCCAAGAGAGGTCGCCCCAATATGATTGGGACCAGTTCATCAGCCTCATAATCGAGGATAATGAAATCAGCAGGGAAGATAAATTTCCCAATTTGCAGCAACACATCTTCAATCACCCCCTCATGGTGTGCTATCGATCTGTCAGCCAGCTGCAACATCACAGTAGTTGGCCTTGGAGTTCCCAGACCCAATTGCCTGAACAACGATAGGGGCATCAAATTTATGCTTGCCCCCAAATCACAAAGAGCACGACCCACATCAATATTACCAATGCGCACAGGAATCGTAAAGCTGCCAGGATCTTTTAGCTTTTGAGGGAGCTTATTTTGGACCCTAGAAGTGCACTCCTCAGTAAGTGCAACTGTCTCAAATTCAGTTAATCTTCTCTTGTGAGCCACTATATCTTTTATGTACTTAGCATACTTTGGAATTTCACGAAGCACATCAACAAGTGGAATATTCAATTGCACTTGGCTCAACATGGAGAGAAATTTGCTGAACATGCGATCATCATTCTTTTTCTGCAATCTTTGGGGAAAAGGTGGTGGTGGCCTTGGGGCCTCCACTGGCTCTGGAATTTCAGCAGTCTTCTCTGGCTCGTTTGTCACTTTAGGGATCAACTCCCCCTCAGGTACGGACTTATGTTTCTTTTTCTTTGGCACTTCCTCAAGCTCCCTCCCGTTTCTAAGTGTAACTGCATTCACTTGCGGATTCTTTTCTGTGTCACTGGGGAGAGCGCCTACAGGTTTAGTATTTTGATTTGTTGCTAACTGCCCCATCTGCCTCTCAAGATTTTTGAAGTCGGTCCTGAGCTGCTGATTGTCAGTCAACAACTTCTTTAGTAAATCATTTGTGCTCTCTTCCATTTGTTGGGGTGGTCTCTGAGGCTGATGGAAACCCCCCTGGGGTCTATACTGATTCTGATTCTGCTGATTTCCACCCCATGAGAAGTTGGGATGATTCCTCCAATTTGGATTGTAAGTATTCCCGTATTGTGCATGCTGGTTCGGTGGACCCCTATTTTGTTGCCCCACATAATAGATGGATTCTGGATTCGTGGGGCACATATCACTCATATGACTGTCGCTACACAGTTCGCAGCAAATAGTCATCTGTTGTACCTGTTGCATTGGTTGTGGCTGTTGCATTGTTATCCTAGTCATCTGATTGGCCAGCTTTGCAATTCCGGCTCTCATTGCTGACACCTCGTCGAGCTCAAGTAACCCATCTGATTTTTGCTTAACTGCCTTTCGTGAGTCACCATCACCTTGCCAGTTATTATCATTAGCAGTGAAAGTATTCAGCAAGAGTTGGATTTCACTGTACAGTTTGGCCATGCAGCTACCCCCACAAGCTGAATCTAGATTTATCTTTGAAGCATCATCTAGCCCAGATACAAAAGCGTGACCCAATACCTCATCCGTCTGGCAATGGTGAGGACAATCTCTGAGCAACTTCTTGTACCTTTCCCATGCTTGACGAAGTGTCTCGCTAGCTTGTTGTTCGAACCCAAGAATTTGACTCCTCAACATCTTTGTTTTCTTGGTGGGGGAAAAACTTGATTAAGAATTTCCTTGCCAAATCATCCCAAGTGCGGATTGAATTAGCTGGCTCCTTATTCAACCACTCCTTAGCTTCCCCGAGCACAGAAAAGGGGAAAAGTGTCAGCCTGACATAGTCCTTGGAAACATTCGGATAGTTGTAAGTATTCGTAATTTTTAGAAAATTCTGAATATGCCTCTGCGGGTCTTCATGAGGTAGGCCCACAAATTGCCCTGTGGACTGGATCAGCTGCACCATGTATTGTTTCAGCTCAAAGTGCCCAGTGATATCAGGCTTCACGATAGCCTGAGTCATATTAGCCAGACTGGGCCTTGCAGCTTCAATCACCGCGCGTTCCTCATTACCCGCTATCTCAATTGGCTGTGGTTGAACTACCATGTCCAACTCTCTTTCAATTTTGGTTCTGGCGTCCACCTCCCTCCTCAATCTATGAAGTGTTCGTTCAATTTCGGGATCGAGAGGAAGGAGATTGTTTGCGCTTCTACTTCTTCGCATTCAATAGAAAATCCTGTATTAGCAAAATCAAAGTGAACTAAAGGTTAAAACTCGAATAAATAAATAATAAAAGCTCAATTCAGTCAAGTAGCTAATTTCTAAGTCCCCGGCAACGGCGCCAAAAACTTGTTGCGACCAAAACACTCACGCAAGTGCACGTGATCGTCAAGTAATAGAGTAGTGAGTAGAGTATCGTTCCCACGAAGACTTATGATTACTGTTGACTGATTCAAACCCAATTACTTTATCTATCCAAGAGGTTTTTCACAAAATCGAAATGTACTGGTTGTACTACCTAACTATCAAGAAATAATCTAACTAGAGCAATTAACCAAACGAATAGCAAGTTCAATTAACAAACAATAGGAGAAGATATTCCAGGGTCACGGGCTAGTTAACCATCGTGTTGTGTTCTTGGCTTAAAACGACTAATTGATTTATCTGGATTGTTGATTGACAGGGTTTATATTACTCATAAGAATCTGTCGAGTTCTTACTCGCCTATTCAAGCTAACTCAATGCCTATATGTCTATGGAATTAAGATTAACAAGAACGCATTTACAATTCTTGTATTCCAACCAAGCAGGGCAATTGGGTATATGTCTATCCCAATTGCGAATCCATTCCCCGAGGCCCGGGTTCAAGAACCTGCTCTATTTAATTCTATATGCAATCTAGAATTCCCACTTTCGAGTTCAACTCTAGATTCGTAGATAGTACTTCACTGTTAGCTACTCAGCAAAATAATTAAAAGCAGAATTAAATAAACAATCCAATTTGACAAACCAACTTCGTCGAATTAAACGTCAAACAACAACTTTCATGTTTCACCCATGACCCCAGAATAATGAGTTTTAGCTACTCATAACAACGTAAAGATAATCCATGAAAATATTCATCATGGAGAATTGCAATAAAAAGAAGAAATAAATAACTCTGATGTTTTTAGGTGATCTCTCACACTTGTGTTTCTTTCCCAAGAACTCTCCAAAACAAATCTGCCCTAATATGGCCGAATTCCTACTTTTTATAAGGGTTTTACACCAAGTTTTCCCGACTTGACACTTTCGTCCCTGGCTTTTTCGCGTTCTGCCGCGGTCCCACCGTGGTTACGCCAGGACCGCGACCAAATAGGTCCTCTAAATCTGTAGCTCTACTCTGCCGCGGTCCTACCGCGGTTACGGTCTGACCGCGGCAGGCCAAGTTTAGCTCTGCTTTTGTCTCTTCACTTGGTGCATTTCGTGGGCATTGTTTGATTGGCCTCCTTTTCTCCGTAATTGATCCCAAACTTGCTCCATCGACTTCATTAGTTGGATATAGCCTGCAAAGCATGAAAAGCACTAATCAGAGCATTTGGTTATCACTTTTTACCACAAAGCTATACAAAAATGTGGTTCTTTTAGGGTCCAATTATAGTATAATTCACATATTATCAGTCTATAAGGGCCAGTTGCTCATAGCGGCTCCTTATCCATTCTGCATGGCTGAGTTCGGCTTCTTGTATGATCCTTAAAGAATGAATTTCTACTTCAACTGGAATGACAGCTTCGGTACCATAAACCAGTAAATAGGGAGTTGCTCCAGTTGACGTGCGGACCATAGTGCGGTACCCCAATAGGGCAAAGGGCAACTTCTCATGCCATTTTTTGTGGTTTTCTACCATTTCCTTAGTATCTTCTTGATGTTCTTGTTAGCGGCTTCCACAGCTCCATTCATTTGAGGCCTGTATGTTGTGGAATTTTTGTGCTTGATTTTGAAGGTTTCACACATTGCTTTCATCAAATCACTGTTGAGATTGGCAGCATTATTAGTAATAATGGACTCGGGAACCCGAACCGGCAAACAGTACGATCCTTGAAAGAATCTGCGACGACTTTCTTGGTTACAGCTTTGTAGGATTGATAACTAGGGAATCTGATGCATTTTACACTCCTTCAAGCTCAAGTTTTGATTAGAAATGTGTACAAAATAGTCCCAAAGGCTCACAAGTTGTGCTTGATTGCAGGTTTGATCAACAAGGTGACAAGGTGTCAAAGATCAGCTCAAAAAGGAGTGAAACTTGCACAAGTACCAAGACAAGACAAAGCTCAGGCAAAACAGGGCTAATGCGGCCGCACACCATTCTGTGCGGTCCCCACAAGTGAGGTTCAGAGAGGCTGCTACTCAGGCACAAAGGCAATGCGGCCGCACTCGATTTAGTGCGGTCCGCAGAAAGAAATTTCAGAGAGTTGCCGATTTCAAGTTTGAAGCCCAATGCGGTCCGCGCTCCATTTCATGCGGACCACACCAGAAGCCACCGCGGCTGCACTAGACTTTGTGCGGTCCGCATTGCCCAAGTTTAGAGAGCTGGAAATTCAAGTCAAGAGCCTTAGTGTGGCCGCACGTGATTTTGTACGGTCCGCACTAGCCCCGCAGGGGTATTTTTGTCCGATATTTTTAGCCTAGTATAAATAGATTCTTTCCCATTTCTAGGTAAGCAGATAGTTTTGTACGCAGAGCTGCGCTCGTGACTTGGGTTATTTTGCTATTTTGAGTAATTTTACCTTAATTTTACCATTGAATCTTCAAGTTCTTCTTAGTAATTAATTTATGAGTTTATCTTCATCTATTTCTTCGTTTTTCTCTCTGATTATGAGTAGCTAGACCCATCAGCTAGGGTTGTGGCTCAACCCTAGTGTGGGTAATTGATGGGTCTTGAGTTTTAGGGCTTGATTGACTATGGGTGTTTGATATTTGGGCTAATTTCATGTTTAATTGCTAAATTAGTGGTTGCAAACACTAGTTTGTGTTTAGTTGACTTTGGTTCTTCTTGAGAAAGAGAGCCTAAGTCTCTAAAATTAGTCCAACAAGGAATTGGGGCATACTCAAGAGAATTGATAGCCCCAATTAAAGGGTTAAACCAAGAGATCGTAATACTCGACTTGAACCTTAATTGCTTGTGCAAATTTGCATACCCAATTGGTCTTGAGAAAGTCAATTCGGGCAAAATCACTCAAACTACCGAGAGGTATAGAGTGAGTAGAATCGAGCAATGGTTATATCATACTTCCGAAATGTGACAATCTAGCTTTAGACTTAAGAATCTGTCAATTGACTACCTAGGCGAAAGCCACCACCCTAGTGCCTTTTAATCATTTGAACAACTCGCAATAGTTTAATCCTAGCTTATTTTAGTTTAATTGAGCATTGTAGTTTTATAAAAATTAGATTCATAATTAAAACCAAAAATGTGTAGAAGTGCAATTTGGAGCAAATACACAACTCCACTTTGGATAGACACCCAACTCCAATATCTAGCTCCCTGTGGAAATCGATCCCGACCCTAAATCGGGTAAAAGCTACTTCGACCCCTCTCTCGCTACTCAATAGTAGTGCAGGGTTGGCTTCAATCAACTTTTTGGCGCCGTTACCGGGGAGCTAACGGTTTTGGCTATCTATCTAAATAGTTTTGTGTTTTGTTCTTCTTTCCTTCTTTGTTACTAATTTGTGTGTGTCATAACTTCAGGTACAAAATGGCATGAAATGCTAATGACCCTCTTGGAAACGTGATTGTGGGGGAGGAGGTTGTTGATAATGGAGAGGATGAGGTGCCTCTTGTACCTCAAGGACAACATAAAGGCCGCCAGGCCAATGCAAATGAGAACGTCCCAGACCCTCCTCCGCCACCTCCAAGAGTGGCTCTAGAGTTCTTCCCAACCAAGGCTATGCAAGTGTAATTGTTTTGCCCCGGATGCGGGCTGGCAATTTTCAAATAACCAACGTGATGCTGACATTGTTGGAGCAGCGAGGGTACTTCATGGGTGCTCCCACTCAGAATGCTTACAAACATCTCAAATGGTTCGTGGATACCTGTTGGGGGAGCAAGCAAACCAATGTGTCCGAGGATGCACTTCGATTGAGTCTCTTCCCATTTTCACTTAGAGGGAAGGCATTGGATTGGCTTGAGCGACTTCCCAACCATTCCATCACAACATGGGATGAGTTGGCGGATAAGTTCATTGCTAAATTTTTCTCACCGGGGCACATGGCAGCACTACGGGATGAAATCTTAGCCTTCAAGCAGGAGCCCGCCGAACCATTGCACGAGATTTGGGAGAGATATAGAACTATGGTGAAGGAATGACCCAAAAATGATATGACCGAGGCTATGATACAACAGACCTTCTATCGGGGCATCAATACAACGAATCAGTGCATAGTGAATCAATTGGCTGGGGGTAATTTCATGAAGCTGCCTCATGATGAAGCTTGTGCTATTCTTGACGAGATGGATGACACATCCTCCGCTTGGTAAAGTAGAGCCAATGTGCCACAGGGAGACCCCACGGTCACTCATTTACACAAAGAACTACATGACCATGGACAGGCCATAGCCGAACTTACAACAACAATGAACCAATTAGCAAAGGCACAGTTGCAACAAGTTCAGAATCCTCGCCAAGTAAATGCCATGGAGGGTGTCAACATGCTTGTAAACAATAGACGACAAAGAGGCCAACAGAACCAAGGGAATTCGAATTAATTTGATAATGATTGTGGTAGATTCCAAGATGATTGTTATGATGGCAGAACGAAGAGGTGCAATATGTTAATAATTACCAAGGCCAAAGAGGCAATTCTTCTAACCAACAACAACAATGGAGATCCCAGGGCAATTGGGGTAACCAACAACAAGGCAACAATAATTGGAACAATCAACAACAAGGGAACAACAATTGGGGAAATCAAAATAACAATCGGTACAATCAGGGAAACTGGGGAAACAACAACAATTGGGGTGGAAACAACAACAACCAGGGTGGATGGAACAATAACCAAGGAAATCAGGGGCAAGGCTTTCAAAGGCCCCCAATGTACCAACAACCGAGCAACCCACCACCTT